TTCAATTTTAGCTTGGTTTTTTAGTTTTTATGATTTGATTTGATTTTTTTTTTGTTTGAGTTTAGTTTGACTTGATTTTTTTATTTTAGAATTGTAAAACAAAACTAAGCTTAGTTTTTTATAAATTCTAATATATTTTATCAGGTCTTTTACTGTTTAATTTTTTAAATTTAATTATTTTTTTAATTTTTTTACTTATGTTTAATTACAATTACAAGTAAATGCTAAAGGAATTTTTAAATAAGGGTTAATTTAAGCCGCTGTAACTGATGGAGTGGGGGTATAAATAACAACTGGAGGAGCAGTAAAAAGTGGTTGCAGAAAGAGAGTCTCACGTCACGTCTCCTCCCCCAATTCCAAGTAAGTCTCTGTCAATGGCTCCTCTGAACGACCGCGATGTCGATGTCGATGTCAGTTCTTGAATGCGAAGGCATTCACACGGAATTTCAATCTTTTTTATCATACTGTTTCGGATGGAACTTGAAGCTGCAGAATCTAAAATTCAGAAATGGCTTTCTGCATTCATACCTGCTGTCGATGTCATATCTCCTTGTGTTTGCATCAAGAGCTGGATTCCTAATCCAAGAAAGACCGACTCTTAGAGAATAAAAATACTCTTAATTATAATATAATTCAGCAAGTCTGAAACTACCCTGTATTAGACAATCACATGAGAATGCAAGAATTCTTGTTGTTTTGCTTCCTCCATCACAGCTATATTTGGCTTGCTCTTCTTCCCTTCGTTCAGCTTCCTCAGCCATACTTGAATGCTGTGGAATACGTTGAAAGTCACCATTTTTTTAAAAAAATTTCTATCAACGTCTTATCCTTCAGTGTATCAAATACATTTCCTTTCTGGTTCTAGATAAAATATTTCTGTCTTTCCTTGGGTGTTTCATGGTGAAGTTGAATACATACTCTCCTGGTTTTGGGAAATTTATGGTGTTGGTGATATTTCAAAAAATTCAAATAGCTTGGAGGTAAGGTTTATGTCTTGGATATATGTTAATTCTTTGAAAGCATGAGCTTAACATTCATCCGAGCCTAGAAATACTGATTTTGACAACTTAAGCTCAGTAATTAGCCGAACCCGAGAACTAGCCGAACCCGAGAACATTGAATAATCATCTTATCTTTGATTTGTTTTATAAAAGAGGATCGCATTGGATAATCATCCTATCTTTGATTTGTTTTATAAAAGAGGATCTAGTGGAAAAAAACAAAACCTGTTGATCCATCAGTTGTGAGAATTTATATGGCCTAATTTAAAGTGTGTTTACTTCGTGTGCACTCTAACCATGTTCCTTGTTGCTTTTTTTACCCCTTTATATGGTTGACTTGACCAGTAAATACGTTACTACTGGATCGCATTTTGCTAGGAATTTACCATTTGAGTGAAAGTAAAATTTAGTTTAAGTTGATGTGTTGCATGTTCATGATGGTACCTTATAAATTTTGTAGGATATAGTATTATGTGGCGCATTAATAAATATATCAATTGAATTGACTTTCATAAAAAAAAAAATGGTTGAGGTTTTCATTGAGTTAAATTAGGTTTTGGGTGATATGTTCCTATGCATGTCTGTCAATACCTTTGATGTGGGATAACAAAGAATTGGATAGAAAAAAAAGAGAGAGAAAAGAAGAGAAGAAAAGAAAATAGAAAACAGGAAGAATAAGCTAAATTAGGTTTTGGGTGATATGTTCCTATGCATATTTGTCAATGCCTTTGATGCGGGGTAACAAAGAATTGGATAGAAAAAGAAAAGAGAGAAAAGAAAAGAAGAAAAGAAAATGAAGAGAAAGAAGAAGCTAAAAAGAACATATAGTAAGGAGATAAAGAATTTGTCTACAAACTCAATTTTTTATATTCAACCAAAACTTTATAACGTGTAGAAAAATTATATATAAACAATAAAAACCTTAATTATTATGGGTCAGCAAAAAAATTAAAAAACTGATTAAACTAAGAAAACTAAAAAAACTAAAACATGAAAAAAACCAATTAAACCGGTTAGAATTTCTAAAAAAACCAATCAGTTTGGTTTTGGTTTTATAAATTTAAAACAAAAAAAAAACCCTGAGAAAAACCTAGCCAAACCTCAAAAAATTAAGTCAAACCAAAAAACCAAGCCAGACCGGTTTAAACAGATTTTTGTTGTTTAAAACAAAAAAAAAAACCCTAAGAAAAACCTAGCCAAACCTCAAAAAACTAAGTCAAACCAAAAAACTAAGCCAGACCGGTTTAAACAGATTTTTGTTCTAAAAAACCAAACTGAAACTGGTCAACTTGAACTAGATTTGTTTTTTTTTTTTAATTTTGGTTTGGTTACTTTTTTTTTATGAAAACCGTCTAAAAAACCAAACTGAAACTGGTCAACTTGAACTAGATTTGTTTTTTTTTTTTAATTTTGGTTTGGTTACTTTTTTTTTATGAAAACCGAATTGAACAAAAAGTAATCACCTCTACTCATTACAATCAATTATTAAGTTAAAGGCCTATTAAAATAGAATGAAGTGCCGTATAGAATAAACTAAGCCCAATAATAATACTGAAATAAAAGTCCAATAAAAGAAATTATAATGTGCTTAATCTTCCAATGAAATAGTAATAGATTGAGCTATCTTTCATCATCTTTGACCATATATGCTTGTAAACTATTCTTAATTTTGGTTACCTTACTAACTCTTTTGATGTTGAAAACACTCGATTCCATTGAGAATAGTTCTAGGTAACTTTAATAATACTCTTATGAATCATGATTAAAGTAGACTCCAAAGCAAGTCACTTTATCTATAAACTGGGATTTGTTGAACCTTACCATCTCTATTAAAAATAATTTGTATATAAAAAATAGTATCAATATATTTCTTTTGGGTCGATGATAAAAGAAATGAAATAGGGGTTTCAAATGAATCATTAAGGATAAATAATTACCTTTTATATATAAATAAGTCCTTTATGTTAAAAGTAGAGTTAAAACTAAATTTAAGTGGTAGGTTAATAATATAAAATATTTGATTTAACATCTTGAATGATCTAGCACTATTTATTTGTTATTTGTTTTTGGATTCTGAAGAACTATTTGATGTCTAAAACAATAATTTGTGTTGTAGAGATGTTTGGATTCATAAGTATAAAAATAAACTTGAAAATCATGGTTCATTTGAGTTAATGAGCCAAGATACAAACAACACGTAAATCACTATTTGGACCAAGATCTAAACAACATGCTCGAGTCATTATTTAGGTCGAGACTCAAATGATGGGAGTGGTGTGGTTGTTAGTATTTGAGCCAAGCTCAAGTAGCTTAAAAAGACTTCTTCTTTTTTAAGTGTATTACCAAATGGAAATTTAATATCAATATCACTTTTATTAGCCGAGTGCATATTTCCTATAAATTCACTTGTCAAATAATTGAATATACCATAGTTTTTGTTTGAGTCTCACATTAGGTACACATTTAGTAATTGAAAATCATAGTAATTTTATAATATAAAAATTTGAATTTCCACACTTCACATTAGGGGTGAGCAAAAAAATCAATAAACCGATTAAATAGGAAAAAAATAGCTGAAAAAAATCAAATTAATCGATTTAAAAATTACAAAAAAATTTTGGTTTTTAAAGTTTGAAACCTATTGAACTGAACCGAACCGATTCAACTAAGCCACCACTTAAGAAAAAAATGAGTATAAAAAAAAATGTTTTCTAACCCTAAACCTACATTCAGTCATCCCCCTCATTTTGCTCTCTAGCTCTCTACATTCCCCCACCGTTTGCTCAATGCATCTCCCCCTCATCTCTTCTCTCTTGTTTTTTTTTCATGTTCAGCTTCGTGATTGTTATTTATTAGTTGTTAAGTTCCTGCTCTATGCTCTTTTGCTTAAACTTCATGCTCCTTCAACCGCCCTCTCTCCTTATTTTATATTAATCATCTCTCAAATGATTTGAGTCAAATTTATTTTATTCTCTTTCCTGCTCTATCTCTATCTCTCATCTCTCAGATCTACATGTTCTTGGTTTAGATGTTGTGGCTTTATGGTGCTTGACAATTTTCATAGGTTTATCTCTTAGATCATGCTTTTGTTTAATTCTTTTTTTATGGTGATATTTGGTAATTGCTTTTAAAAATATTTCTAGTTGAATCCAATAATCATGGACTTGATCTCATCTTTGATGACCTCAATATGATGAGATTTGGGTTGATGGAAAATGCTAAGAATTGCTTTCTGTTTGTTTGCAATTGACAGGCATTGTAACATTCTCTAGAGAAGGAGTGGTTTGAATTTGAAATTAGCTTGAGCATTATAATTTTAGTTTGAATCAATTTAAAAGGGAAAAAAATAAACCGAACTGAAATTAATTAATTTGAACCGGTTTGTGGTTTGGTTCAGTTCAAAAACTAAAAAAAAAAATTTAATTTGATTGTTTATTTTAATTCAACACCGGACCAAACAGAAAATATTCAGCCCTACTTCACATCATTTATAACACTCGGGAATCAAAGAATTGATCAAATTTTATAGGGCATATTTTGCAGTAATAAAATTCTGAAATGACGAAACGACGCTGACGGATTGATCTATCATAGAATATTCCAGTTCATATCATTAATAACACTGAAGAAACACAGAATTAAACAAACTTGTTAGCGTATAGTTTACAGTAAAAACATTCTGACGTGACTAAACAACCTTAACCGTTCCACCAGATCTTCTGTTGTATTATATCAGCCCTAGAAAGGATTGAGTCACGTTTTGGAATCCATTGAAAACCATTAAAGGATGAGCAAGAACAGATATCCCACATTTCTTGGAGGTATAGTGATTGGAAGTAATTAATTTTATAATCTTATCATATGATAACAGAGTATTCACGGAATCAAACAAAATTGTTAATGCATAAATCACGGTGCATTTCACGGTCAGATGTTCTTTTCAATAGAGAGCCACTGCAAGCCATGTAAGGATGAGCACAGTTGGTTCTGTGTCCAGTTGGTTCTGGACACATTTGTCCTTCTACTGTTATTCCTGAAAGAAAATTCAAAGAAAGTGTTTCTTACAAAGTCGATGAATGTGATTCCTCAAGTCTTTCTTCCTTTCTATGCTCGCTCACTTTCCATAACCCCCAAGTCAGCACTTAGTAATAGTATTACTTGTTCCTTGACATCTGTTTCCATTGGCAGATGATCCCTTGGTCCTTTTCACAGCTTTGAATTGTATGCTTTCTAACTTTAACGTCCTTTTGTAGACAAGCACGGCAAAATTCCGAATGGGACTCGGCGGAAGTTTAGAGATCTATGTTCCAAACCTTGCCTTTCTTACTTCCGAAGAGCCAGAAGATTCTATATGATAAACTCACCAGGGAACCGGTTATTTCTTTCCTGCACAAAGGGAAACTAGGAGCATCTCACTATCTTTGCAACCTCTCTAATAGACAAGAAGATGGAGATAAAAGGGAAAGCCACCGAGAAGGAATCCCGGTCTCCAAAGTTCACTCTTCCGGTGGACTCAGAGCACAAGGCAACAGAGTTCCGTTTGTTCTCAGTTGCTGCTCCCCACATGCGGGCATTCCATCTGTCTTGGGTTTCTTTTTTTGCTTGTTTTGTCTCTACTTTTGCTGCTCCGCCCCTTCTTCCTATCATACGTGACAACCTCAACCTCACTGCCACTGACATCGGAAATGCAGGCATTGCATCAGTGTCTGGTGCAGCATTTGCTAGAATTGCTTTGGGGACTGCTTGTGACCTTTTCGGACCCCGTCTTGCCTCTGCCTCATTGATCCTCCTCACTGCACCGGCAGTTTACTTCACTTCCATTGCCTCATCCCCTACTTCTTTTCTCCTCGTACGTTTTTTCACAGGCTTCTCTCTGGCCACTTTTGTCTCAAATCAATTCTGGATGAGCTCTATGTTTTCTGCCCGAGCAGTCGGCACAGCTAACGGTGTTGCAGCAGGTTGGGGTAACCTTGGTGGTGGGGCAACACAACTAATCATGCCCCTTGTGTTTGGCCTCATCCGTGACATTGGAGTACTCAAGTTTACAGCCTGGAGAATTGCGTTTTTCATTCCTGCCCTGTTTCAGACACTATCAGCATTTGCAGTGTTGATCATTGGAAAGGACTTGCCTGATGGAAACTTCAGGCCGCTGCAGAAAGCAGGGGCTAAACCAAAAGATAAACTATCAAAAGTCTTCCATAATGGAATCACAAATTACAGAGGGTGGATCCTGGCACTCACTTACGGGTATTGTTTTGGAGTAGAGCTGACAGTAGACAACATTATTGCGGAATACTTCTATGACAGATTTGACCTCAAACTCCATACAGCAGGAATCATTGCAGCAAGTTTTGGTCTAACAAATATAGTTTCTCGACCAGCTGGAGGATTGATCTCAGATGCAGTGGCAAAGAGGTTTGGGATGAGGGGTAGGTTGTGGGCTTTGTGGATAGTGCAAACCACGGGAGGTGTGTTCTGCATCATTCTTGGACGAGTTGAATCTTTAGGCGCATCTATTGTGGTAATGATTGTGTTCTCTTTGTTCTGCCAAGCAGCATGTGGACTAACCTTTGGGGTGGTGCCGTTTGTCTCTCGAAGGTAAGATTTCTTCCATGTTTGTTAGCACCAATATCATCTGCCGCCCAAGTAAACACCGTAAGTTTTAGGAGTTTAAGAGTCTTCTAACTGTTAGAAAGATGCGATTTAACCAAAAAGACAAAGTACGGTAACCTTCACAAGAGCCAAAGGTTTCTTCACGGCAAAGCTTAGAATTAGCGTAGTGTAAATTTCACCAGATCATAAAAGCATGACATCTAAAATATTACTCTATGTTCAGGCCTCACGTATTCAGTTACTCAATACTCACTAATGAATTCATTCAATAACAAGATGACATAGCCATCGGAGAAGAATAAAAAAGTTTGTTATATTTTAGAACACTTTTTAATATTCTAAAAATATTTAATTTTATTTATTCATATCTCACTTCTCGCTTGTTAAAAAAACTATTAAATTTTTTTTATAAAAAAAATATTAGAAAACCTTGTAATACCATAACAACCCAAGAATTCTATCGAAAATTCTTATGCAGCTTTGGCATTTCTAATCATTATATATGAGTAAAACATGGTAATTTTTTTTTTAGAAACTTTCAAACATTTTTGATGAACTCCTTTAGTAATATAATTCTTCATTCAATGAAAGATTCATTTTCTTTCATTACTGATCTTAATTGCATTTTCCAATCATTCATACTTTTATTTTTCTTCGTTAACAAATTCAACACGGTATTTAATGTTAACTTTAAAAGGTTGCTCTCTTTTATTTCATTTTTTTTTCAAAATAGAGAATAAATTATATATAGAGAAAAAATTGTTAACGTTATTTTATACAACACAATCTCTGCTACGAAAATTAAGGTTGTCCCCTGACATGTAGGATTTCCTTTATATAATATATTCTTATACTTTCTATAACTCCTCTATTTTAGAAGCTCATACCAACACTCCCCTTTAAATTGGTATACATATGTATCTTTTATGCCCAACTTGTCAAATCATAAAAGTTCTTTATGGACATTGTTTTTATGAGTATATCTATCAATTGCTTGATAAAATACCGATCCACTGCAACATGCTTGGTTCGATCATGCTGGACAGGATTGTGAGAGATGTCAATGGCTTTCTTATTATCACAAAACAAGTTCATTTCAGAGCTTGGAGTAAAACCAATCTCCGTGAGCAACCTTCTGAGCCAAAAAAGTTCACAAAAACCCTAAGCCATCCCTCAAAATTTAGCCTCGGTGCTTGATAATGCCACTACTTTTTTCTTTTTGCTTCTTCATGTGACAAGATTGCCCTTTATGAATGTAAAGTAGACTAATATGGATTTCCTACCCAGTCAGTGTTTGTGTAGCCATCAACATTCAACTAATTATTTTTAAGGGGAGGACTTCAAGTAACGTAGAATCCAAGTTACAACATCCATATGGTCTTCAATAAGGCGGTGCATGAATTGACTTATTACATTTACCGTGTAAGCAATATTTGAATGAGTATGAGATAAATAGATAAGCTTACCAACTAGCTGTTGATACCTTTCTTTGTTTGTTGGCACTTGATCTGTATATTCACCAAGTTTATGATTTTGAATAATATGACTATCAGCTGGTTTACACTCCAACAATCTTACTTCTAACAACAACTCTAGCATATATTTCCTTTGAGAAAGAAATATGCTTTATCTTGACTTGGCTATTTCAATCCCAAGAAAATACTTCAGCCCTCCTAGGTTCTTCATTTCAAATTTGGCTACCAGTTGCTTTTGGAATTTAGAAATTTCTTCTGCATCATCCCCTATAACAATCATGTCATTTACATAGACTATTAGAGATATCACCTTTCCTAATTGATGTTTCGGAAAAGTGCATGATCTGAATTTCTTTATTGAAAGCCATATTTCTTCGTAGTTAAACTACACTGACCAAACCATGGATAAGGTGATTTTTTTAGTCCACAAAATGCTCATTGTAGCTTGCATGCCATCTTTGCCTTTGAGGAAGACGAATATCCTAAAGGAATGTCTATGTAAACCTCATCCTCAAGATCATCATGTAGAAAAGTATTTTTTACATCAAGTTGGTGCAATGACCAATCTAAATTTGCTACAATAAATAGAGAAACTATAACAGTTTCTAGTTTGACTATTAGTGAGAAAGTTTCATGATAGTTTATGTCATATGCCTATATATACTTTTTTGCCACTAACCTTGCTTTATATCGATCGATGGACCCATCCACTTTGTATTTTATGGAGAAAATCCATTTGCACCCTATTGTTTTCTTTCCTTTAAGTAATGCCACTAGTGCCTAATTTTATTTTTTTGAAAGACCTCAAATTCTTCCTTTATAACTTTAGTCCATTTTGGATTTGTCACGGCTTCTTGAATGCTACTTTGAATATTACATGAGAAAAGTGTATGTGTGAATGCTTTGAGAGGTTTGAATAACTATTAAGTAGACACATAATTGGCTATTAGGTACTTAGATCGTCTATCTTCTATATCTAGAGAGTATCTGTTTGGTGGCTTGCCCCTATTATGTTTGAAAGGTAGAATATAACTAGTAAAAGTATCCATGGTATTAGTGTGTAAAGGTGTGGTAAGAGAGCTTACCTCAGGAATACTTTTAGAAAAAGGGTTATCGAGATCAGATATTAAAAGGTGGGGAACTTCATCTACAAATTCTGTATTTATTGATGAAACGAACTCAACTCTTAAATTTACATAAACTTCTGAAATGTTTTGACCATTCAATTGAATTCTGTTATCTCCATCATTCATCAATACAGGTATTTTTTAAACTGTTTACAACATCCAATCCTTCACCATACAGTAGGTGTTGCTAATTGTCCAACCAATTCTGCTTTTCATCTTGGAGCCCTTCCTAAATAGTGGAATTGGATTTCAATGAAAGAAAGAAGGTTTTTGACTCTAGAAAAGTGACATCCATAGTAATGTAGGTGTGTTTGGTGGTAAGATCAAAAAGTGATACCTTTTTTTTATATACATCATAGACCTGGAATAGGCTGCAAACTACGCATGGGTCCAACTTAGTTCTTTGATTCTTATAAAGGTTACAAATGCAACACAACAAAAAATATGAGGAATCATCAACACTGGATAATAGGACATGGTTAGACAAAACCTTCAAAGAAGTCTGAAATGTTAAAACTTTTGTTGGCATGTGATTTAGTAAATACGCGCTCATAACAACAACATCATCCCAATAATATCTAGGCATATGTGCCCTAATTAGTAAAGCACGTGCAGTTTCTAATATAAGTGATTCTTCCTTTCAACAATACCATTTTGTTGTGGTATTTGAAAACACGAGATCTCATAGAGAAGGCCATAAGTTTGAAAGTATGCTTGAAATTGCTGATTAACATACTTCCCTCCATTATCAGACCAAAAGGTTTGAATCTTAGCAGAAAATTATGTCTAAACCATGATATAAAAGGATTTGAACACAACAAATGCTTCATTTTTGTGTTTCAATAAACACAACCATGTCATTTGAGTGCAATCATCAACAAAAGTCATGAACCAACAATGACCAGAGGATGTAGTTACCAGGGAAGGTCCCCATATATCGGAGTATATTAATGCAAAAGAAATTTCACTTTTATTCATGCTTACAAGATAAGAGACCCTATGGCTCTTGGCTAAAATTCAAGTATTACACTTAAAATCTAAGTGCATTGAATTGGAAAATAAGTGCTTCAAATAACTAATTGAAAGATATCCTAAGTGATGGCGCCACAACTGAATCTGCCTTTCATTGTTACTAAGCATATGGTGTATGTGATTGGCTTTGCTTAGACTCAGGCCATCCACATAGTATAATCCCCCCTATTAGTACCACATCCATTTATTTCCTTGGTGAAAATATCCAAAAGGAGACAAAAAATAAAGTATATTAGTACTATACAATTGAGAGCAATGGTAACTTGACTTACAAACATTAGTTTATGGGAAATGAGGAACAAGTAACATATAAGATAATGATAAAGGAGATAAGATCACTATTCCAGCCCCTGTAATCGTGCAAGTAACCCCCTTGGCAGTAGCAATATGACTTCATCTTAGCGGGGTTGTTTGAGAGAAATCATTGAAGTCGAGAATCCATTTTTCATCATCATTGTTGTCGCCCGTCACCCGCGCGACATCTAGCTGACAATTTTTTGTTTGATTTGATTGGTTTATTGGAGTTACCGCCTAGTATTTAATTGAAGGCTACTAGAAAACTCAGGTGTACTGGTCTTGTCAAAGATTCACTAGTAAGGAACTGGTTAAGGAAGATATTAACACCCTAACGCACCCTACTTGAGGTAAGCTGCTTCATGACTTTGATGTATTAAAGAAGTTTTAATAATTGTCTTTTCATCGGATATTAGAAATACGATTTACATATAAGTTCATAATTCTTGACCGTGAGCAAATCAAAATATTAAATTCTTCTTTATTCTTTGTAAGATTCACTGGTAAGGAACTGGTTAAGGAAGATATTAACACCCTAACGCACCCTACTTGAGGTAAGCTGCTTCATGACTTTGATGTATTAAAGAAGTTTTAATAATTGTCTTTTCATCGGATATTAGAAATACGATTTACATATAAGTTCATAATTCTTGACCGTGAGCAAATCAAAATATTAAATTCTTCTTTATTCTTTGTTATTTTATCATAAAAAAAAACAACCATGAAAAAAAATACAAACACATTCATTATATTTTTCTTTTTACATCCACACTACATATTATAAAAATTAAAAAATAAACAAATTATATTAAACAATTTAAAATTACAAAAAAAAGCCCTAAAATAGAATCAGGAACAATGCTAGAAGGCTTCTGGGTCACGAAAACATTAGCAGTGCATCTTTCCCCTGTGCCACCGCTACTGGCAGCTCGTGGGCTCACACGCTGCTGCGAGGAAGAACCAAGATATTGTGGGATCGAGAACGACTTACTTTTTTCTTCCCTTCCTCACCGATAGTGAACTGGAAAACACCAAAAAAACACAACAAAATAATTGA